ATATACATATATTTATATATATATGTATGTGTATATATATATGTATATATGTATATATAAATAAATAACAATTCAAGAAAGATAGAGAAACAACCAGGAAGGAAGATAAAATACGCTGTAGTCGGTGCAGTGGGTGAGAATAGTAGTGAGACGTATCCAGCGAGTGAACGAGTGGCGGTGCATACTTACGTCCAGTTAGAGGGTGCATCAGAGCAGGGTGCGAGGTGGCTGCTGCAGCGGCTGGTTGCTTGGGTTTGCTAACCTTTGTGTTACTTTTTGCAAATTCCAAACGTATGGTTTGTGGCATATCAGGATCGAATCTAACCCCCTGCTGCAAATAGATTCCCTAAATTAGTAAACCAGGGAGCACACGGTGTGGAGGTAAAACGGTGGATTTCTGTATTTTTTCTTGTTTATTTATTTTTCTTTTTGGTCGGTCATTTTCTCTCGTCGACGAGAGCCGACCGGTCAAGTTTTGCATTTTTTTCAGGTCCTTGGATTTCGTTTCCAGCTCGTTAACCCTGCCACGTTGGTCGGATCTTTCTAGACCCGATCGCGGTTTCTTTTCAGCAGTGTTCTATTCGTTCGATCTCTTTCGATTTGGACGTGTTCTGATTTTGTTTGGGAGTGCCTTCGAGTTTGAAGATTGTTATTGGACTATATGTGTTTACGGCTTTTTTAAAAAATAATTTAGTGATTTCGAATGGTTTGAATGGAAAACTGTGGCAGGGTTAAGATTTGTTTCTCGAGTCGTTGTTAATCCCTTAACCGATCGACGAAAGGTGTGACTTAATTTTATGGGATTGTTTGTATTCGAGATTTATAAATGAAAGAAGTATTTATATTCACGACTGTTAGTGATGGGTTTTCTTTTATGCGTAAGAGAAGCTTTTTGCCACGAGAAATCAAAGGGTAGCGATTTTATGTTGATCGTCGAATGAAAAGATTTATATTTGAAGTCTGTGAATGGTGTATATACTGGGAAAGCTTGTGCGTTAAGAGGTTAAAAAGCAGCTGTAAATTAATTTTGAACGTTCGTCGAACGAACTGAACTTTATTTGGTACTTTGACTGCCTCGTTAACCGCGTATGGTTGGCAGGGTGCTTTATACAGACTTATAAATTGGATTTACAAGGTTAGAAGAATTGTAATTGAATTTTAAGAACTCGAAAGTATGATCACTGCGGTGAACCCTTAATTTTCTCGTTCGTTATATGAATTAGCTTAGATTATATTAATCTGGGCTCTAGTAAACGTATTAAACAAAGTTTCTACGCTATTAAATACATCCTGTTAGATAAAATATTTCTGAATTCTTTCCTGTCAAGCAAAACAATGCTTAAAATACTCTAATTTTTTTCTCCAATAAAAAATCTCGTTCATTCAAGACTTCCAACAAACAATTTTCCCCAAACTACTTCGTCACGTAATTAACCCTCAACAGTCGATAATTTTTCAGTAAAATTCACCTATGGAACAACAGAATATTGTCTAAATGCAAAGGAAACACTGTCAACACTTACAATAAAATTGAAAGTAGATTTTGAACGAAATAAATACTTTTAATCTAATATTCTACATAGAATACTATTTGAATATAATGTTTAATATCCAAAATATTTATATTACAAAAGAATATTAAAAATAATTAATATTAAAAATATTTATATTAAAATATCATCTAATATTAAATCTTAAAAATACTAAATATCAAAAATGTTAAATATTTTTCATAAATAGTTCCCATAAATCTTATTTACAATCACTTAACGTACACATAAATCTGTTTAAATTAATTTCATTACTAGTATCTATCTTTCACCCATACACTGCAAAATAAATGTCTCGAATCTGCCGTCTGTTAATCCACATATCCTCCAAACTTTTCGAACACCCTAATACAACGAACAGAAATAAAACCCAAATATCCTCTGTTTCCGTACAATAGAAGCTCTCGACTGTTAAGGGTTAAAAACCAATCGAGACACAACAAAGCTGGCAACGAAAGGCCCCACAGAAACGATTCCGCGTCAATGTAAAACCGACCGTTCACAGGGATGACGGGTTGCTTTTCCGGGGGTGGTGACGAAATTACGAGGAGATTAGCACAGGTTCGTGTGTCTATATGTGTATCTGTGTCTGTGTACAAGTGTGAAGTGTTAGGGGCGATAGGGTTGGTCGTTAGTTCGGTTTCCAAAAGGGTGTTCCTTCAGCGGGTCGTGTCCATCCGACAAGAGGATGTTTCGGATTTCTCGCACAGAAACCGGTTACACAGGGTTATAAGACATTGCAAGTTGCGTGAGTTCAGTTGCGGTGGTGTAGTAACGAAATAAAAAAAAATAGAAAAAAAAGAGGAGGAACTCTATGTATGCAAGTATACAAGGGTACGTACTGTTTGTATATGTGTACAGGGTGTATAAAAGGGTCGGGACCAAACTTGTACTGTGGTCAAATAGATGAAGAAGACTCATATAAACTTACGTCCGAAAATGCTTTATTGGAAAGATATGGAGCAAGATCGCTGATTCGTTGTACAGAATCGTATATTTATTATTATTCTCAGTGACACTCATTGTTTACGCACGGTTTTAGGATCTCTATTATCAGTTGTCCTATCGTCTAGAAAACATTTAGACCGGACACATTTTCTTTTCGATTTCGTTTATGCGATTACAATTAACACATTGTTGACGAGTTAACTCGCGTTTGCACTTGCATTAACTATTTCAATGTTTGAAACGTGGGGCGATATAAATATTGCAAACGTAAAATATTGAAAGCTCTATAAAAGATACAGCGAGTCGCAAGAGTATTCGTATCTCTTGAACAGCCGACTTTGAACGATTGATATTTGTTTGCAATGCAAGTTTCAAAGTTCTTATCGACGGGAATATACATTGGAATTACGAAGCTTTCGAATTTATACAAAATTCGTTGCAAAATAACATAAACCGCGAACATAAACGGCAATGCTGCAGTGATGAAAATTCCACTTTCAGTAATTTCAGTCTTACCTTTTCAAATGTCGTACCAATGGTTTATTCAGATTCTTCTAATTGAAATGAGTCCGAACACGATGTAAATCGGTTTAGTTTCATCGATTTGGGGGAAATGAGCCTTTACTTTCGTTAATTAAATTAAATCGGTAAATCTGGGCCGATTTGCGTTGTGTTCGAACTCATTTTAATCAGAAAAATGTCAACAAGCCATCGGTACTACATTTGAGAAGATAAGGTTACAATGATGGTAATTGAAATTTTCTTCATTGCATGTTTATATTTAACGCGTGCGGCATCGCTTTGAAGTCCGTGTCTATCCCGTTTCTGCTTAGTATATCGATTCTCTGTGTTTGTCAGGATGTGCTCGAGTCAATTCTTGGAAACAAATAGCTTCCTACTGCTTTTTCTGCTCGGTTAAATTCTACTGCTGAGACCCGCAATTGAAGAATTTAAGCGAGCATTACTGTACACGATTCTGTACAATATATTGTAACACCAATTTTCCTTATAAAACTTTGAATGCTTCTATCTTTCCAATAAAGCATTTTCAGATGTAAGTTTACATGAACTTTTTTCACCTGTTTGATCTCAATAGTACGTAGTATAAGTTTGGTCTCAAGCTTTTTGAACATCCTGTATAATGCCTCGCTATTAGCTTCGCTATCGGACTTTGATGCTCGTCCATCGATACACGTTCGCTGTCCGGCGCCCGTATAAACTGATAATTCGAGCAACGAAGCGGAACGAACCGCACGCTCTCCAATGGAAAATAATTTCCTACCGGCCGAGCGGATGTTTATTGTTTTATTCTCGTGGTAGAGTTTCCGTTGCAACGCTACAGGGGAGTTTTCTTGATGAAAGCGAGCAGGGAATTTTGATTGAGAGACTCGTAGCGGAAGATTTGATAATGTTGTCGATAATAGATTGTTATTTAAATAATTTCGGTTATGGAGATAGAGATATTACAGTTTTAACACTAAAACTGGCGGACGTGTCGAAATGACCCATTCCTGATTTCTTCTTTTTACAGTTATTAAAAGGATGATAGACGCATCTCTGAGAGATTGTTGAAAAAATTGATTTAGGAATACCCAAACCAAATTACGAATCAATTGAAGTCTCGATAGATGCACTCTTGGAGTTTTTATAGAGGAATTCCGGAAAGTTAATATTAACTGATAGGTCGTTTTAGTGTTAAAGATCTAGGTAGTAAATGAATATTTTTGTATGCAATTAGATCGACTGGATTGAATTTTGGGTGAGTAGAAAATTAATACTGGGTACAGTGAATTTTTGTTTCTTTGAAACAAGAAATTGTAATAATACGAATAAACAACAACAGATAGTAGTATTATTTGGGATTACGTAACTGATGGAGCGTAATTTTCGAGACACTTTGTTGTAATATTGAGAAGGAATACTGAGGAATTATTATTGATAAACAGAAGAAAATATACTCAATATAATGGATCCTTTTTAACGAGAAATTAAGTAATGCACTGAATAAGTTTACATTTTTTTAATTAGCAAAAGAGGAATAATGAATTCAACGAATCCTTTAAAACGAGAAGCTGCCATAACGAAAATAACGAAAATGAAGTACTTCATTTAATCCATTATACGAATACAATAAAGATTCATTTAATTTATTCGAAACGAGAATCTGCCATAATGGAAATTGTATAATTAATTAAATATAATTCACGTTATTTATTATACGAATTCAATGAAGATTTCTATAATTGATGAAATATAATTCGGTACGCCGTTAGCAAATGTAAAAGGAACATCGAATATTCATAACCGAACTCATTTATATTACAACTCAATATCTTCACAAAAAAAAAGACATTAACGAAAAATGACGAA